CAAAAATGATAACTTCTGTTTTGCCTGCATCCAATAGAGTCATCCAGGTTTATATGTCATTATAAGACATGCCTGTGGTCTACTTAATGGGATAATTTAATCAGGATTTATGGGAAAAAAGATAAGGCAACACATAACACTGAGCCTATTATTTTTTTTTACTGTGAGTTTTAAAACAATGTGGCAAAATATGGCGTTTGTTTAACCATTAGAACAGTTAAACATGTTATTAGTTTGTAATAAAAAAAATTCTGAGTTATCTTTGAATGCATCATGAGCATACTCATGCTGATGTAGAGGTTCGACACAGACCAGACGAGATGCTGAGCAGAGCTGGACATGAGCATCAGGATGGTTAAACAAATGAGTAGCAAAAGCAAAAAAAACTTACACTTCGTTTTTGGCATTTACTTACCGGTAAATATATTTAGTTACTTTAACACAATTGTTTCATGTCAGTAGGGTAGGACAAAACAATTGTGTTAAAGTAATTAAATATGATTAAGATGATTTGGATGTATTTGAGTTCTTAGGCATTTCTTGGGGCTGTTCAGTGGAGCAGTGGGTAGCGCTACTGCTTGGGTTTGATTCCCAGTCTTACTGCATGGAGTTTGCATGTTCTCCCTGAGCATGCATGGGTTCTCTCTGGGTACTCCAGCTTCCTCCCACAGTCCAAAAACATGACTTTAGGTTAGTTGACTAAATTAGATGTAAGTGTGTGCGTGAATGATTGTTTGTCTCTGTGTTGCCCTGCGATGGACTGGCGACCTGTCCAGGGTGTACCCTGCCTCTTGCCCATTGACTGCTGGAGACCCCACTCGGGACAAGCGTGTCAGATAATGGATGGATGGATTCTTGTTTGCCCTCTTGTGGTAGTCTCCTTCTCCTAGCTCCCTTCTAGACTCCTCTGTTCACACCTGCTCCCATTCTGCTGATTAGCCTGGTCTTTGTTTCTCTCTCCCATATATGCACCTCCTCACTCACTCACTTAAAAACACGTTAACATGAATTCAACACACTTTAGTAAAATGGAGGCAGAAGATGTCTTTCAGTCATCAATGCACACATTCAGCTACACACAGGAGCTCTTTCAAGCTGGGCACCATTTTATTCACAACACCTGTCCCATCAACCAGGAATCAGAATAAGAAATACTTGAACAATCCCAGGACGAAATTACTTTTGTTACATGACTCCATCTGTGTTAGAGTGACTATAGGACCAGTTTGATATAACACAATTTCATACAATATATATAATTAGGGGGTCCCCGCTCCATCTCGCCATCAGTTTGGTGGTCCTTGGCCTGGAAACCTTGAAGACCCCTGATTTAGATGAAAACATGTTGAAATAGTCCTGTTAAAGTCCAGATCTAAATCCAATTGGGAATCTGTAAGTTTTAATAGTTCAAGGGATATTGTAATGTTTGCAATTTTCTGTAGTAAAACAGAAAACCTTAGATTTTTTCCCCTTGGCTAGTGCTGATTCATGCAGCACAGACTGAGCTTTGTTTTGATTGAGGTCAAGTGTTCTGTATTTATCTGCTAATGCAGCTTTAAGGTGAGGCCGAAGCGTTCAGACAGTGCCTGAGGGAGGCAAAACACTCTTAAGTGCAGTCTATAAATATCTTAAAAAAAAAAAAACTAGATGATAAAGATACGCAGAGAGGAAATTTGTCGCCACGCTTTAAAATAAATTTTAATGCAGCAGTTATGGCCTCCTCATGTCATGTGTTGCCATCACTTCACATCCCCCCCAAGCTGCGGACAAAACTGACCAACTGACGTCAAGCTATGGAAATAAAGCTGTGGCAAATGGGAGGAGCTCTGGACAAACCTCAGTTTACTGTGTGACTGCCTCTGATTCTTTACAGGCTGCTTTCTGGGAACAGAACCAACTTGTTGAGTCTGGGACACCACAAATCACACAAACACATCCACACATGGGAGCAGAGACTCACACAACTGCTGGGGGTTTGTTTGACATTCTTTGCACCGCTAACAGGGGACACATGGCTTGAAAAAAGAAAATGCCAGCAGTTGCTTAAGCTTGTATGTCAGAGAGCGTGCCTGTGGTGAAACTGGACATATTAGCTTTCAGGTTGTTTGCACATGCCACACACACGTAATGCATTCCTTTCACATCTTTTTTTTATACTACTACTTTTTCCTGCAGGCAGTACCTCAACACTGAAAAATGGGCATTGAGAGACTTTCTGTTTTATTCATCTGTTTCACAGACATCTGTTTTCAACATTATTTTAGATATTCTTCTAACACCTTCAGTTTTTCTTATTTTCTTTGTCAAATTAAGGTTTTCTTTTGTTACGTTTTTTTAACTAACTAGAACAGAATTCAAGTTATGCAAACAACCAGCAGGGCTCCAACTTCAGTCAACAACAGTCTAAGTGAAGGACTTATAATGGCCCAAGGGTAATATAACGGTGCCTTCACGTGCTATTGGAATTTGGAGTTTTTTGTCTATTAATACATGAATAGTCTGGGGAAAATATGTCTGAAATAAAGATCCTTGGGCTGTTAGTTTATGACTATATGTAATGTAACCTTATTATTTACAGTGAGCATAATGAATATAAACAGAAGTAAATTACATTGAGATTAAATGTATATAATTATTTCAAAATAATGTCATTATTAAAAAAATTTTATTTTTTATTTTTAACTTGATCAGTAAAACAATTAAAGAATGCTTTCCAAAAACAATACATTTTAGTTTTATGATTAAATCCAATTTCACCATAAACTCTAGAAATAATAACAGTGTTTCTTAAATTAAAAAGGTTGCATGTTCAGTTCTGAAAAATGTAAAAAAAAAAATAAAATAAAAATAAATAAATAAATAAATAAATAAAAAAGTGAATAGCTTTTTTGAGATTTTATGTTTTGAATTGCTTTTGTGCTGATTTTAAAACAGGTTTGTATCATCTGGCACATGCATAAGAAACCAGGCAGCAGCTCATGATCAAAGACCACCAGGGGGCCTCCAAATTCACAAAAAACTGGCTCAAAATACAAGTCAGCAAATACAGTAGTTTTCTGTAAACAATGCATCCCAGGAAAGTAAATATTTCACATGAGATATTTTCATTTTTTCAGAGAAGTAGTCTCTAAAGCAATTTTTCTGTGAGGTGTTAAGGAAGAAAATCTCTGCAACAAAACAAGATTTATCAAGAGCCCATAAGAAAAAGATCAAAAGATTCTATCAATATTGAAATCCTAGGAAATTAAACCAAGATTTTCTATTTTCAAGAATTTAGAAGAAAAAATGTTACTCCCACCTTAACCACAAAACATATTTATTGGTTTTTTAGAATGAGTCAAACTAAGTGAGCCAAAATAACACAAACCGCATACTTGAATCTGAAAAACATAAAAATGACATGTGCCAAGTGCATCCTGCTGTTGTAGATATTATATGCATATATTGCATGAAAACATACAGAAGAACCAAATTTCATTGCCTTAAACATAAAAAAAAAAAAAAATAAAAATAAAAATAAAAATCTTATTTGGCGCTGTTTAAAGCCACATTGAAGGGCCAAAGAGCCACATGTGGCTCTGGATCTGCAGGTTGCAGACCCCTGAGAGTTGAGGTCAGAAAAAGTGATGCCATTGTCGTTCGAGAAGGAGTAACAATTTTTCCAGGTGCATGAGCCTGATTGCAAATAAAATCAGCATCACATGGTTCTTAGCAGAGGAGAGCATGAGGTGTTCATTGTAGACTAATTTCCGACTTTGCACTTTCTGACATTTCAGGTTGAGTTGCTTAACAAATGACTTTGGGAACCATACATTTTACCTCAAGCAGCTTGGATTCTCATCCTTCTAAGTCATCTTCCAGTCTTTGGGTTCCTGAGTTCCAAATGACAAACATTGCTTGATTTGTGTTTTTATCCGAGGAACCACTTGACCCAGTTGAGGGGTTTTCATTCTGACCTTTTCTCTGGCTTTAGGAATGTCTTTACAGTAAGAACTATACAGTCATATGCAGTCCAAGTCCTGAATCTGTCTGGGTCAAGGCTCTAAAAGCACCAAGTACTGATACATTCCAAATTCAACATCCCCGAAACAAAACCGTTTTCATTCCATCCTCGATTCTGCGGTTATGTCTGAGACTTGTGTTCATTATATTAAAGCACACTCCTTTCAATCAATATTCTAATAATAAGCTTTGATTAGGCCCTATGTAAACAGCCAGCTTCTTCTAAATACATGAAAATGTATGCAATGAACTATGAAAACTATTTTTTTAGATGTAGCATCATAACTCATCACATAGATAAATGTTATGCAAAAACTGTGAAATGCCCACAGTTTATTATTGATTATTAAAAAAACACTATGTATTCACACAAGTTTCTTCCCTTGTAGTTAGCAGAAAAGTCTCAGTCTTCCCTTAATTTGTTATTTTGGGGTTTTACTAAACTGTAAGGTATACAGATAAATGTTTAAAAACGTTCAACATCTCTGATTTTAGTTTAGTCATAATGATGATCACAAGACACAAAATCTCACATAGTAGGTAGAATGTTGTTCAAAATGAATCCAAATATAGATAGAAAAGTATGAAGTTTAAAATAGTTAAAAATAACTCGAACCATAGTAGGCCTATGATGATCAAATAGGTCAAAATGATACATAGCATTTTTTTTATGAAGGAATTGGCCATTTTAAATAGCTTACTTAAAATATTTTTCTATGTTATCAGAATCATTGGTTCTAATTTTTTTTTTGTTATTCCAGTAAAATTAGGAAAGATTTTACATTTAAATGCTGTCCCTATAAAATGATTGTTACATTTTTTTTTTTTATCTCAATTTTTAGTTCTGGCAAGACTCCTTGTATATTTGACTGAGAGAGAGTGCTCAGAGTCAGGTGTTCATAAAGAGCAGAACCCCCGTTTGAAAAGGGATATTTACGACGCAACCTTGAACGCATCGTTGGATTACATTGGAGCTGGCGGGTTGGGCCAGACTCCACTCCACTGAGTTCACACGGCAGGACCGTGACCCCACAGCGCCGCGGACTGAGCTACTGGAGCCCGGCGCGGAGGTATACCTCTGAGAGCCGTTCCAGGACACCTATTAATTAGAACACCTGGACTTCAGAGGAGAGGAAGCGCAGTTTCCTATGCAGCCACTTTTTATCCCCCCCCCCTTTTCCTTGTAGAAACCTACAGTAGGATAGTTATTGGAGTTGACAAGCCCGCTTCACTACTGTAGCTACCCCTGCTCCTCCTCCTCTCTTCCTCCTCCTCCTCCTCCTCCTCTCCCGCTCCACAGAACCAGGAAATCACCGAGGTGTGCTTCTTTATCCCGCTGCTTGCTACCCCGTCTGCGGGTGTAGATGCGCTGTTCCCCCCCACCTTCTCCTCTTCTTTTTGCTCTGTCCAGTTTTTATTTCATCTCTGCGGCCGCTGGAGTCAGCCTGAAGTTGCCTTCGAGGAGAGGAGCCGCACTCTGGCTGAACAATGAGGTGCGTAAAGCGGCTCAAATCCCTTCATGTTCATTGTGTTCGGAGGCGAGCGCTTCAGTTTCTGCTGCTGCTTTTGTTTATTTATTTTTTTTTTCTAATGAGCTGTTTTGTTATTTGTAGCCTATCTAAATATAGCAGTTTTATCTGGTTTTATCTGCTTTCTGGTGCGTAAAATTCCAGTTTCTCATTCAGAACATATAGAGCCTGAGCTTTTGGGTTGTTTTTGTTCTCAGCTGAAACTGCAGGAAGTTTCTCTCTTTTTTTTTCTAACCGAGCGACTTTCTTGAAACTTCAGCTTCCTACCTGTTCAAAGTGCCTCGATTGAGGTAAAAAGCGCTTTGGCATTTGCTTCCAAGATTATTCACACTACAAATAATTACCAAATATCCAGATTTAAACATGCAAACGATTCATAGCCGAACGGAAAACGAAAGCCTGTTCCAAACAATAGTTAAGCTTTATTTAGATCATAAAAAAAGGGAGTCGGTGTGTTGCTCAAAGGCACTCCAGCATGGTGGACTTAAAGGAGGTGAGCTTCTTGAGCTGAATTCTCTGGTGGTGCTGGGCCAAGTGCATGCGCTGTTTATATCATCATCATCATCATGCATTCCACTGACACACATTAAAGCTACCCCCCCTTGTCTCCCTGTGGGGAGAGCAGAGTTTTTGCACCATCAACAAGACCCACAGGCACACAGCCCATGTCAACAAATTCCATGTCCTGTTGCAGCCTGCGTCTGCTGACAATTACAAGCTTGGGAGTCTCCACTCCTGGGCTGGAGCTGCTCTGATCTAACATTTAAGCACCAGCAACTCTGAAGTTTTGTTCACACCGCAGCCTGAAGTGACCCAAATAAGATTTTTTTTTTGCCCATATGTCTGATCTGAGAAGTCTGAATAACAGATCTGGTTTTCATTTTTATTTTTCCAATGGACCCAGAACATTGGCTATGTGGTCCTGAATCTGATCTTTTCAAATGCAACCTTTGTCTGAACGGCCAGGTCATTCATCTGACCTGAACGTCATTAATACTCAAAACTCCCTATCCTGCATCTTGCAATAGAGAAGCAGGGCGAAATACAACCATGGCGGACGATGATGCGGAGAACAGTCTTTCTTTTTCATCTTGGTGTGATGATTGCCTTCGAGTCAATGAGTGGACGCAACCAACTGGTTTTCCTTAGAACACTTTGAATCAATCTGACTGTATGATCTGGTTAAAATGTGAAGTGCCTTGAGATGACACGCTATATAAATAAATTCAGGAAAAGATTAGCATTAGAAGCTCAACCATCCATGTTTTTTCTGTAAACACATACTGGCTCGCTGCTTGTGACGTCATTGCGTCCTCTACTGCTCATGCGGGGCACCTAATTGTATGAATGCAGTTCACACAGAAGATCACATACAAGTCGCATATATCTGGAAAGGTGACTGACTGCGTTGGACGGTCGCAAACCTGCGCAGGCCTCAAGCGCAGACAAAAAGCAGCTGTGATTGGTCCTTAGTATGCCTTTCCGACTGTCTGTGTGGTTGTCCTTCTCGATTCGGTGCCGGGGTGCGCCAATTTTAAAAACCGACGAACAACTACAATAGACGGCTACGACGAAAGGTTAATCAAGGAGGTTCGGAAGTACAACCACTTTTACGATGCCTCAGGCAAATTATATAAAGATGCTAAGGTCTCTGCCAACTCCTGGAGGGGATCAGCCAGACCCTTCAATGGGAACGCGCCATTTTTCTTTTGGAAGATAAACACTCCTGCCGCGAGTTCTTGAATAGGCTCTCCCATGTGCTTTGGTTGGAAACTGCTGTGCGTCCCTAGGAATTCTAGAAGGACTGTGCAGAAGCATACCGGCAAAACTGGTTCGCGAGCAGACGCAAGCGACATTTGATGTGTGCAGGTGCAGAAGTCTAATCTGCCCTTAATGCTTGCAGTGTGAACGTAGCCTCAGATTAGTGCACCTTTATTGAAGTGGCGGGGGGGGGGGGGTCTACTTCAGAGTTATATTCAGGACTAACTGGAAGGCTGGAATTTGGTTGGGGGATAACCAAGTCAGTGAGTGACCAGTTTTCTTCCGTAACAATATATCATGTGTGGATCAGGGGTTGGCATGGGCAGTTCCAGATGGGGTGGCCAACAGGGGCCAGTGTCCCTCTAAAACCTGTTTATGCCCCTGTACTGCAAACATTTAGATAAGTGTCAAATTTCCTTGAGATTTATTTTATTGCTTTATAAATAGATACAACAATTGGATGGAATAAGCTGATTAGTGCTAAAGATTTGAAATTAATAATCAAATAAAGTTATTTAAACAGTGAAAATGCTCATTCCTTGGGCAGATCATCTTATTCACCTACTCAATTTAAGGACAATTATTCACTGGCAGATGAAACTTTAACTGATTCATCTTCAACAGTGATTTAATATTTCATATTTACAATTTAATAGTTATTTAGAAATTAGTCAGCTTTAAGCACCAGATGCATTAAGATAGGATCACAGTCTTCATCTGTTAGATCAGAAGTCTGCCACTTTGGCTTTGTGGTTTGCATAATGTACTAAACAATGTTCTCTTGCCCTCCCTTTTTTTGCAGTTGTTTTTTTATTCTTTTGTTCTGTTCCCCCCTTTAAAAAAAGCACTGGCCCCACCCTGGTCGAATTTTTCTGGGTGTTGGTGATTTCTTTTCTATTGGTTTTGCAGATATTGCAGTGGAAATGCCTGTGCAGCCAAAAGTTAATTGCATAGACATGAGATTCTTATTTATAAAGATGTTTTGTTATCCTAATCTGTCATTTTGATTCACTTCATTTTTAACAAAAAATAAATTCCTCTGTTTTATTAAAACAGAACTTTATACATTTCTGCAGTTCTTTTATTTCTAATGTAATACAAAATAGCAGGTTTGTATGATCTAGATTATTAGCTGAATGATTAGATTGGGTATATAGCCTAGAGGTCTCTGATTTACATAAAATGTATTATTTGTTCAATGACATCAACAAAATGGGATGCTCTGTTCTTTTTTTAATACCCAGAATTATTTCTAAACCAGTAAATTTGTCTATGTTGTAAAGGAAGGGGAAAAAAAGTAGGCTGGCCTCCTTTCAGCCAGCTGACGGCAGTGAGCAGTATCACATGGGTCAGGGAAAGCCCTGACATGTTGGATCACTTCCCCTGTCCTTAAGTGTCTTTAGATAGTTTTTAATTTGTAGAAAAATTGGATGGCTGGTTAAAAGCTTTTGTAAACATTGATAACGGTATCAAGCCCCACTATTGGTGCTGGTTTTCTCCACAGTAATGAAGACTGTGGTGAGAAAGGTGGTCTGGCCTGAAATCCTGGTATTTTATTGCTCTAGAGGCGCTGAATTAACAAGGCTATTGGTTTAATTAATGCACAAAGATAACCGTGTGTGTCTAACATGCATAACAACCTTGCTTTCAGAAATGCTGGTAGCTGTATTTATCCTTGATATATCTGTGAGCATCATGCAGACATTATGGTTAGAGACACCGTTCTGTCCATGCGGTGTATAATAAAGTTATTTACTGTGGTTGGATGAGATAAACTAACTGCTACTTGGATTGCTCTTCTGCAGTTGGGGGGGGTAAGAGTACTTCCCCAACCATAAAACATACCTGTAACTTTACCGCTCATAAGGAAAGTATTCGTTCATTTTCAAGCTTTCGCTCATCTGATAAAGTCGAATTGGGAAGCTTCCTGTTGAAGCCGAATAGCTCTCTTCCTCTAAAAGGGTACGGCTTTGACAACCTCCCCCCCCCCCCGCTGCGGCCAAATGGGTTCATGTCACCTTGCATAATAGGTAATGGCTGGTATGCAGCTCCTCTTGTGCTCATTGTGGGCTCAGGAATGTAAATGTTGACAGAGTTGCAGTCAGTTGGTCAAAGGTTCAACCACCGACCCAGTTCAGAAGCTGGTTCTGATGATCCTGATTAACACCTTAGTTCCCTGGGATCAGATTTTAGGAGCGTTTGTTGCCTTCTTGTCTCAGTGAACAATAACTTCTCTGTTCAGATGATTGCATGATTCTTTCAGATTCCTATCCTGGGGGTTAGGTGGTACAGGAAGTGCATCAATTTGCATCATGATTCACTCCTATTGTCAGAGAGGTGACTCTCGACTCCCACGCTGAGTCAGTAGATCGGACTCCGACTGAAAGGAGCTGTCCCGTCTGAGACCACCACCACCACCATGTGTGCCTCGGGCTCCAGAACTAACACACACAGAAACAGGTGTTGTGTGTCTGCTGAACACATTCAGCCTGCTGGGCATCCTGAAGCTGCTTCAGAGGCTCTGCATGTGGGGAAGTGATGCCAGACTGAGCTCCTCATCAGCTCCCTTGCAAAAGCTTATTGATCAGTCTTAAAAGCAGTAAGAAGAGAATTACCCCCCCTCCCCGCGCTCCCAACCTCTGCCCTGCCCTGTTGTTTCTTTTGTCTCCTCTCTGCTTTCGGCCGCAGCTGAAAAGGAATGTTTCTGAAAGCGTGACCTGAGCAGATATGCTGTTATCGTCTTCTGCCTTTTTGGCGAGCCCGTGTCCTAACAGGCCACTAACTGTTATTTAAGAAACACACGGAGGTTATTGCATTTATAGCTTTGTAAGAGCGGCGAGATACAACTCCTGTTGGTTGCAACAGCAGCATGTTTTTACTGCTCGGTTGGGTAATGTTTTTGTGTTGGTATTTCAAGTCTCCACTTGTTCCCCTCATGCCTTGCAGAGTCACATTGTTTTCTTTGATGTAAGCAGTAAAAGCAAATGCAAGCCTGTCTGACTTCTCTGTTATGCATTGTATTTATTAGCATAGTCAATGCTGCTCATTTTAGGAAGAAGACATCTTTGCTAAGAAACAACAATGCTGCTGTTTTCATTTCTGAATCTCTGTTCTTGCATCTAGATTATTTTCTGCACATCCATTAAAAAAGTTGCTATACCTTTTTTAAGATTTGTTTGCAAAAATCCCAACTTACCTATAAA